ATGGATGGATGGATGGATATGTGGATGGATGGATGAATGGATGGATGGATGGATGGATGGATGGATGGATGGATGGATGGATGGGTGGATGGATGGATAGATTTTATGAGAAGGAAGGAAGGGACAGAGAAGAGACGAGGCACTAGAAAGGAAAGACAGAGGGAGGAATCCACAGAGCTGTGAGTGAACCAACATATCACCTCTTCTCCTTACTTATCAACTGTCTCGTTGTATGACACTTGGCAGTTATGCCCATAGCGAGGGTACTTTCCAGTGGTCACAGATGGTCCTGACATGTGGCTGCTGGAACTAGTGGCCAGGTGCTAGGAGAGGGGTTGCTGCAGTGGTGGCCAGCTCTTCATCAGCCTGCCTGGGCCATGTCCTCAGTCATGTCGCTATTTATTTGGCAGTTACGTGATTATGTAGCCATTCTCCACCAAGATCTGATGCCGATCTCCATTTTTGCATAACGACCTGGTCTTTGGAGACTAAATGTGTTGATGAGTGAGGAATGGGCGCACTGCGTTGCCTTATGGGCATAGATTTACGTGGGCATTTGATTTCAACCCGCATTGTTCCTGCTGCTTCTGTCCTTGCACATTTATAAAAGGATGGCGATCACGTAGCAGCGTCACTGGAGGAGTCACTCCCAGCAGAGGCTTGTTACTATATTTCAGAAGAACATCCGCACTCTCGTGCAGTGTCGGAGACCACACACATCGTAATTAACGCGGGACTTTCTGTGCAGCACAAGACCAAGCTGATCCTGAAGAAGCAAGTCTGTTTTGACCCAAGAACTTCGTTTTAGCTTCCGCTCACCTGGGTCTTCTTTCTAGGCGTGGAATCTCGACCTTCTCAGGAGGCCCGCAGAATTTGGGGGGAGGGAGAAATGCAGTCTCTTCTAGCCATTTCTAGACCACACCAGTCCTCCGGGTAGCCAGATGCCTGTGTTGCTCACGTCTCCACTCCTGGAACCAACTAACGTTTGTTCAGTTTCTCTTCATTTTCACCCCGAGCACCCTCTCTCTCTGTCGTGTCTGCTGCAGCTGCGGGACTGTGTTGAGTGGAGTTTCCGAAAGCCACGCCTCCTTTCTCCAGAGCTTGTGGGATGTCTGTGTTCTAGGTTGTCCAGAGATAAAGGCCAGTGAGGACCTGAGAGGATGGGACGACAGGAGACTGAGTAATCTGAGAGTCGATCCCTGAATTTAGTCCTTGAAAGCACCCCCGTAGAGAGAGACAGACCCCTTGCTGGTGTGGAAGTGTGTTTGTCTACCTAATATGCATCTGTCTGTCTGGCACAGCGCACCTTCACCGTCCACCGTCCTGTGCGCCAGCAGGGAGCAAGCGTGTCCGGGGGGTCTGGGAGCTGGACCCTAGTGCTGACTACTGTAGTTTCCGGTGCTTATAGACCCTCTGTCACGCACCTTCTCCCTCCCTTGTTGTGGTGACCAGCATTGGTTTCTAATGGCCCCTGTGAGGGAAGCTCAGGCTGAATGAGGAAATCCGAGAGAGTGATGGTCCCAGACTCGGGCAGTCCTGTCAGAGGTGAACTGGCGGGCCTGCCAGCACCTGGCACTCTCAGCTTCCACCTCAAGCAACTCCACAACCAGGTCCCTTAGACAAGGGGGAGGATAGGTCCCTCGCAGCAGCAGGAGGATGGCAGCCCGTTCTTATCAGCCCACTGGGAACCCTGCTCCTAGCTCCCCTCGGCCAGGCCCAGGACGCTCACAACCCCAAGCCTGGGCAAGGAGCTGAATCCCAGGGTCCCTGGCAAGTCCTTCTGGCTTTTAAGTGTGAATTTTGTCTTTGCCTTTTATAAAAGGTATGAGTTTTGGGATTTTGCACACAGCTTCCTTTCCTGAGCATAAAAGTTTTAGCTCTTCTCGGAGCTCTACTCCCTGAGAACGGGGCCAGTGTTTGCCTGCTGTGAAATAGGCAGAAGTGATCCAGGTGTGAATCAGATGTTAGGGTCCTAGGCATCCCTCAGGGACCACTGGGTGCATGTGGTAGAACCATGTCAGAATGGGACCCCCAGGTACCCCTCAGGAACACAAGGTCGTGTGGGAGAGAGACCCCCCCAGGTACCCCTCAGGGACCACCAGGTGCATGGATCAGAACCATGTCAGAACAGGACCCCCCCCAGAGCTACCTGGTGGGTGTATTAGAACGATGTCAGAATGGGACTCCCAGTGCTCACGGTAGAACCATATCAGAATGGGACCACCGGGGGCCCTCGGAGTCCTGTGCTGTAACCATGCCTGACTGGTATTTAGGGACTACCATGGACTCCTTGTAGGAACACCACCGGTGGTCCGCTTCCAACAATATTTGGGGATGCTTGCTTGACATTTGTTAACGTCTCTGAAAAAAAATGCACGTCATGAGGGAGGAAGGCAGCGGTGACTCAAGGTCCTGGACTTTAAGGTCGTCCATACACTAGACTTTGACCCCAGCTGGACGCGGCCTCTCACCTCAGGGACACAGACAGTGGCCTGGGCAGCCAGCCCCCTCCTCTGGTCTCAGTAGAGAAGCCAGCTTGGCCGAGCAGGCTATGGGGAGGGACCAGGCCCCCAGGTTGGTCTCCGGCTCCCTGGAGACACAGCTGAGTGTCACCGCCCTCTCTTGCAGGGAGCGGAGGGGCAGAAGCCGGGGTTTGGCTATGGAGGCCGCGCGTCCGCCTCAGCGCACAAGGGCTTCAAGGCTGATGCCCAGAGCACACTGTCCAGGATCTTCAAGCTGGTGACGTAGCCCTCTGGGCCCCGTGGGTGGGCCTGCAGGCCAGGCTGACGTGGGCCCTGTGTCCAAGGCAAACTGCCTGCTGGTCAATACCAAATACTCACACCCTAAACCCACTACCACTGAGTCAATTCTAACTCTAGTGACCGTCCCCTGGGCCCCCTGGCCAGAGATCTCTGTAAGAGGAGCTTAAGTTCTCCAAGAAAATCACTGGGCCTTTCTTGACCGTTCATCTTAGTCTGGACACTCACTGACACCTGTCCACCGTGGGTGACTGCTGGAAGGGACACGGCCCCACAGGGTGACAGACTTAGAGATGGGTGGCATTGTGTTGGAAAGTTGGAACCGACACAGGAATCAATGACCATCTTTCTCCTACAGAGCAGCTGGTGGATTTGAACTGCCTGCCTTTGGGTTGACAATGTAATTGGTAGATGGTAAAAGCAGTTCACTGTATAGAGAGCTTACCCTACGACAGTAGACTGTCTCAGTCACCCAGTGCTGCTGTCACAGACACCACCGTGCACTGCCTCAGTCACCCAGTGCTGCTGTCATAGACACACCACAGTGCACTGTCTCAGTCTCCCAGTGCTGCTGTCACAGAGACCCCACAATCCACTCTCTGTCATCCAGTGCTGCTGTCACAGAGACCCCACAATGCACTCTCTGTCATCCAGTGCTGCTGTCACAGAGACCCCACAATGCACTCTCTGTCACCCAGAGCTGCTGTCAGAGAGACCCCACAATGCACTCTCTGTCACCCAGAGCTGCTGTCAGAGACACCACAGTGCACTGCCTCAGGTACCCCGTGCTGCCGTCTCACACACCACTGTGCATTGTCTCAGTCACCCCGTGCTTCTGTCACAGACACATAGTGTCCGATGTTGGTGAGAACAGGTGACTTAGCCCTGAGCTTCGGACCCCATTGTCATGGCTTGTGAGAGGGCTTAGAAAAGGCTCCAGCCACTGGGGAGTGGGACACAGCTTTCCAGTGAGGGCTTCAAGAAGCCTCCTAACCTCACAGGAATTTAGAAAATGGGGTGCACCAACTTGCTCTGGGCTCCCACGAGGGTGGGTCCCGGGCTTGGTGGCCTCGTGTATACCATGTGGAGGTCAGTTTCCACACTGCTGCCGTAGGCGACAAGGCTGATGGCCACCCCTGGGCCCTGGCCCACAGCAGAGCTGTCACAGGGACAATGCCGATGCCCTTCGGGGGCCCTCGGCCTCCCCACAACACCGCTGTCCTCAGTGGCGGCTCTGGTGACCGCCGTGGGCCCTGGCCTGACATTGCCTTTTCTTTTCCAGGGAGGAAGGGATAGTCGTTCTGGCTCCCCTATGGCAAGACGCTGAAGCCCCCCGTGGCCGGCAGAGAGCCCTGTGCGCTGCTTTCTAACTCCAGGCCTGAACCTGTAACCTCTGACCCACCCTCAGCTGCAGTCCATGCCCCTAACACCAGCACAGTGCACACAGGGCCGCTATCGCCCTGCTGGAGACACGGACACACAGCTTGCTAAACCCTTTGAGTTGAAGAAGTTCCTGTGTATTATGCCTGCAGCCTGGAGCCTGCGCCCCGGACGCTGCTGGCCGACACTGCCGACAGAGAGCTACAGCTGGAAGGACTGCTGGTCCGCTCTGCCCTGCCCTGTCTCCTGTCCTGTCCCATCCTGCCCCTGGCCTGCCCTGCCTCTGCCCCCTTGGCCTGTCCTGTCCTATCCTGTCCCTGGCCCATCCTGTCCAGTCCTGTCCTGCCCTGCCCTCCCACCCCGCAGGGCCTGGGACTGGCAGTGGACGGTGCTGAGGGGCTTTGGTACGTGGAGGTGGCCCGAGCGGCTGGAGTCTGTGGTGCAGCGAGGAGGAGATGCCTGGCTGTCCGCTCACCACACTGATTCGCTGGGAGTGTGTGCGGCGGAGAGAGAGAAGGACATCCAGCTCGGGCTGGCGATGGCCTCCAGCGGGAAGCGGGCTGGGCGGTGGACGGCGCTGTCACCGCCCCGTGGTCCTGGGCGTCTGGGCCCAGCGCCCCCACCACGGGGCCAGCCCAGTGTCCGCCGGAGTGCCGGGCGAGGGTTCCGTCATCGAGAGTCCTGGAGAGAAAGGCTCGTCTTCTTGTCCGCAGTGTCCCCCCGGCCCCTGAGAGCTGGGGCCAGGCGTGTCCGGGCAGCAGTGCCCACGGCCGGACTAACCCCCCATGATAACACCCCCTCTGAGGCCAGCCACCCAGTGCTGGGTGTTGCCGTCCTCCAGAGCTGGCCTTCCCTCTAACCACTGACCCTCCACCCTAACCCACTGGCCATACCTTTTGAGTTGAGCACGTCTCCTCCAGGCCTCCCCGGCCACGCCACGTGGGCCCAGTCCCCTCGGAAACATCCCGGTGCTGGCTTTAAGCCCCTCCTGCTCCTGATGCCCTGCGTGGGGATAGTAACTTGTATTAATTGATCATATTAATTGATCACTGCAGTGCTGACAGTGGAGAACCAAACCACCCACATTTCCCAAACCAACTTCACGTCCAAGGCCAGCGGCCCCATCGGGCACTGGGCTGGGCACCCGCCGCACCCATGCCCAGTGCTGCCCGGTGGGTGTCACGGGAAGAGCTCATATCGTCAATATGGAAATAAAGTTATGGAGTTTAAGGAGGCTGTGTGGTGTCCACCATTGTGGGGGGAGGGGCTGGGCTGCAGTGCAATCCCTGCCCTTGGCTGTGAGCCCTGGACAGGGCGGCGTGCGGCCACAAATAGTGTGCAACCCGCCAAGGGGAGATCCCATGTGTTTTAAGTGGGATTGCTGGTTCCCGCTGATCCCGAAACTGCCACATCTTGGTGAATACGGGGATGAGAACCCTTTAGGGTTCTGGAAAGTTGGTGTTGTGAACCGTGGGGTCGGAACCAGCCCGTCGCTGACCCTCCAGCAGGTTTTTAGAGGCTGTAAATCACACAGGAGGAGACTGCCCCTCTTTCTTCCATGGAGCAGCTGGTGGATTTGAACAGTGTACCTCTGGGTTGGCAGTGCAGCTCCTTTCTGATATGCAGGGGACAGAATGTGGAGTAAAATTCAAACCATAGAGGCTGAGACTTGCTGCTCTAGTAGAAATTTCCAGAAGCCCTGAGTCCACAACTGTCAGGGACAGTGAGTGCCCGGTCAGCAGGGAAGGGCGTGCTAAAGGCACGAAGTCCAAGCCATCAGTGGACTGGCTGTGGCTGCAGAGAGGGCAGAGCACTCAGCCTCACCCCTCCAGGCAGACTGCCTGGTCCATCTCCCTCGGCGCGGCCAGGCATTCAACTTCCATCTTTCCTGTCAGCGGGCAAGTGCTTCACCACTGTGCCACCAGGGCTCCTTTCAGAGGGACAGGCACTCCCAGGCCATCGGGGTAAGCAGAGCAGCAGGAAAGCCTGTCCCCGCAGGCTCTGGCTTCCCGTGTGGGACGGCACTGCACGCTGTACTGCAGTCAGTGAGGTGCTCGTTAACTTGACTACAATACTGAGACAACAACTGAAATGTGACACAGAGACACCGTGGGAGCACACGCTGTGGGGAAAAGGGCACCAACAGACTCGCTTGGTGCAGGGCTGCCCTGAACCGTCAATTTCTAAGAAACACGGGGTCTCTGAAGATCACAGATGCAGTAAAATGAGGCATGACCATCCCGTTGTTGGTAGATGCTCTTGAGTTGACAACAACGTGCGGCCACCTTGTGAACACCTGCCCCAGGTCCTACACTGCACCATCTGGATGACGTATCATCCCCAAGGCCACAGGGGAGCCGTCACAGGGACAGTCCAGCTCAGGGAAGGCCTTGCTCCCTCTCGTGGACCCTCTACCTTTTTGAGGCATGGTGACCACTCCTCCTGGCCACATGCCCAGAGAAGGAGAGATGTAGGTTCCTTAACCGTGCCTCTAAGGAGAACCTGGTGGAAGTTCCTTCAAGACGTACTTGTTCTGAAGAGACTATGGTCAGCATAGTTGATACTGCATGCCATTTACTTGTCATTTATCAAAGTTCATAAATGATAGATAAATGTCATGCAGTATAGACTATGAACTTTGATAAATGTCGATAGTTATACAAAGGCTTCAGGCCTTTTGTTACAGGGTCGCTATGAGTCATGCTCGACTCGAAGGCAATCAACAAAACAACAACATACTACATGAGCCGACACCAAACTCAGCCCTGTGAAAACACCCGACTCCGAACACGTAAATAAGTTAGACGTTTAGAACAGTGCAAAAACAATTATTTTATTTAAAGCCAACTCAGTTGGGTTTTGCCCTAACTACCTATTTCTACTACAAAATTGGACTAAACAAATAGCATCTGATGTTTATATATAGACTATGAAACAATTTTGAAAAAAGGAACTGTCCTATAAATGAAGAAAGGGAAAGAAAATGAAACTGTGTCTTTCTCGGTCTGTCATGATTCGAGTGTAAGCCCTGACCCAGGACGCCTTCGTGTAGAAGGTGCTGCTTGCACACAGGAGCCAATGCTCACCATTACCCCCAGACGCTCCTGTCCTCCATGCAGACCAGTCATGCTTTGTTAAGTGCGTTCAGTGGTACGTCATCCAGATAAGAAGCCATCACCAAGGCTACCTGCAGGAAGGGTGAGAGTACATGAGGTCGTAGGCCCTCCACGTGTGTGCTGGGGGCGGGGGGGGAGGGGCTTCCACTGACCAAGCCACAGGGTTGTCCTATTTGAACTCTTAACTTACTTTTTAAACCAGAAGACACAGCTGGATCTCAGGATTATTTCCATGAGGATAAGCTGCAGATCAAGCGGTTCAAGCAAGGCTATCGCTTTCAATGAATGGAGGGACACGCTCAGGCACCTCTGAAAGGCTACTCCCAAACTCGGAAGTCCCCCAGGGAATGAACACAGAGGGACAGAGGACAGCACCACAGCAGCAGAAGCACCAGCTGAGCCATGACACCCACGCCTCTCATTCAGGGAAAGGTTAAGTTCAAGGCAGCCGTCTATAAACACTCACATAAACATGTTGAGGATTGATAATGGCTTTGCAGTTAGTGCCAGGGGAAAGTCTGTAAAAGGCAGGACCAGATCTTGTCAAACTAAAAGGCAGCTCCCTACATCTTAGAGGTCTCTCCAGAAAGATACCACCTTCCCCAAGCGGTGACCACTTCGTGTAAAAAGCATGCCTCTAGCAAGTGATGTGTGCGCTGAGAGGAGAAATCGGGGGAGGGACCACGCACCAACTTTGTGACACTTTCTCTGCACTCAGCTGTGCCTCCCTGGACATCAGCACGCAGACATGCTGCAGTGGAGATGGGTGTTGGCCTGTCCTCAAGAAAAACACTAGGGAAGAAGGCACTGTCCTAAAGCAGAAGGCACTGTCCTTGTGCTGTCATTAAGACATGTGGTGGGGGTGGTAGGGCACTGATGCCAGACCTCTCAGCTGACCAGGATGCATGATAGGATCTCCTCAATGATGTTGTTATGTGCTGTCAAGTCGCTTGCGACTCATAGCGACAACAGCTCTAAACTCGCTCTGTCCTGTGCCAATCTCATTGTCTCCGACACACTCATCTTGATTGCACCAGTCACTGAACCAATCCACCTCCCAGAGGGCCTTACCCTCCTGCCCTCCACCCTCCCAAGTATGATGTCCTTCTCCAAGGACCGGTCTCTCCTTACAGCATGACCAAAGTATGTCAGACGGAGCCCCAGAATCCTTGCCTCCAAGGAGCAGCCCAGTTCAACCCTCTCCAGGATGAATCTGTTAGTTTTCTTGGCAGTCCATAGTATTCTCAATACTCTTCTCCAGCACCACAGCTCAAAGGCATCAATTCTCCTTCTATCCTCCCTGGTCATCGTCCAGCTCTCTGATGCATAACAAGTGATTGCAAAGACCATGGCCTGTACCAGACACACCTTAGTCTCCAGAGACACACCATGGCTCTTCAGTATTTTAGAGAGGTCCCTGACAGCAGACTTCCCCATCACAATACATCTTTTACTTTCCTGGCTGCTGGTGCCAAGAGTGTTGATTGTGGAGCCAAGCAAACTGAAGCTGTGAACAATCTCAATCTCTTCGTCATCCATCCTGACGCTGCCAATTGGCCCAGTGGTGAGAATCTTTGTCTTCTTGATATTGAGCCTCAGTCTATATTGAAGGCTGCAGTCCTTGACCCTCAGCAGCAAGCGCTTCAGGTCCTCAGTTTCAGCAAGCAGGGCTGTGTCATCTGCATAACGCAGGTTGTTGATAGATCTTCCACCAATTTGTCTAAAATGAGACCTCATGGCCATCATCAAGCAGGCCTCACAGCCACCCTGTAGGACAAAGAACTGCCCCTAGGGCTCCCAAAGCCGCAATCTCTGCAGGAACTCACCCACACGTCTTCCTCGCAAGGAGAAGCTGGACCATTCAGTGCCCACTCACCACGGTCCCTGAACACTCCCCACAGGGGAGCCACTGAGTTGACCTTTTTGAGAAATGTTTTCATCTGTCACCACTTGAGTGCTGTGTGCACGCCTCGGCTCTGTCCTATCATGTTGCTCCTGGTGTTGTGTTCTGCAGTCAGAACCGACCCATAGCTGACCCTCCAGTGGGTCTTCAGAGGCTTTTAAATGCACGTGAGATTGCCCTATCTTCGCATCAGGTAATCCATGCCCACGAAGCCAGGAGCTCTGCTGGAAGGTGATGCAGCCTGACGGGCTGCTCCAGGGCCAGCGGGGAGCACACGTCACCCTGGAATGGGGTGTTCTCCACCTGGCCTGGCGAGGCCACGTGCTGGCAGCGGGGAGCACACGCCGCCCTGGAACTGGGCCCTCTCTATCTGGCCTGGCGAGGCTTGAATCGGGCACTCTCCACCCAGCCAGGTAAGGCCACGTGCCATCTGCCTACATATAGGTGAAGGTAATGAGGGCTGTCCAGCCGAAAAGTGCCTGAGTGTGTGCCTGTTTTAAATTACACATTTGAAAAAAGGGAGTGAAATTAGTCCTCTTTTCTAATTTTGTCAATTTATTTTTAACTCTTCCAAAGCAGATAAGCTGTAATAAAATATTTGTAAAAATAGTCATCTCTTCAAAACCTTGGTTATGAGGCTAGAACATCCTTCAAAGACCGTTATTATCAGTAAACTAAAGGGCCAAGTGTAATTATGCCACAGAGCCCTGTCTCAAGGGATCTCTAAACCAGCAGCTACGACTACGATCAGAAACACATCAAAACGCCACATGAATGTGTTGCTGTGTTGTTGTTATGTGCCATCGAGTCGTTTGCGACTCATAGCGACCCTATGTACAAGAGCCCTAAACGCCGGTCTATCCTGTACCAACCTCGCTGTCTCAAACACATTCATTCCCACCACTCCAGTCACAGAATCGATCCATCTCATCGAAGGTCTTCCTCTCCTGCGCCACCCCTCTACTCTCCCAAACATGACGTCCCTCTCCAAGGACCCGTCCCTCCTTGCAACATGCCCAAAGTCTGTCAGATGAAGCTTCAGAATCCTTGACTCCAAGGAGCACTCCAGAATGTGTAGGTTAGCTAAACAGAGGGGAAGTCACAAAAACTGGTTCTTGGGTGTTTTTGTTTTCCTTTGAACAAAATAAAAATGGGCTGTATAGCCACCTGCTTAAAGAGTCCTACTTAAAGAGGCAAATAACTAGCACAGTTCACTGGGTGAGGCCCCCCACACCTCCACCTCCCCAAGACCCTCTCCTGAGTGGCACTGAGCACTAAAGAAAAGAAAAAAACCTGGCAAGAACAAAACTGTAAAGTTTTGTTAATCCGAACCATGAGGGTCATCCCCAGAAATGACAATGTCTAAGATATTTTAATACAAAATTATTTTTTTTTTAAAAAGTGCATCGAAAATAGAGCCTCTAGAAGACCAGTGTGGGGCTCCCCATGCTGCCCAGGCTGCGGTCAGCTGTGGTGACTCCCACGAAAGGGACCCTTAGCATCTTGTCCGGCATCACAAGATCAAGTGAAATAAGGCTTTTTCCCCCCTTCCAAAAAAAAAAAAATACATATACAATACACAAAAGAGTTTGGAAAAGAAGTAATATTATTTAAGTTTTCTGGCTTAAATATTTTTCACATAACGAAAGTTCTCATGTTGCATCAATATTACTTATATACAGATGCCCGCTGTGACTGAGGACAGGGACCAGGACTCACAGACTCCCTTT